TATAATAGTATATATATATATATATATATATATATATATATATATATATACCTAATACACCATTATTTCAAATATCAAATGTCAATTTTAATCGACTCTAAAATATAAATATACACCCAAAAAAATTTAAAAAGCTATTTATACCTCTGATATTCTTCAACATTATACGTTTGCAAAATAGCAATGTATCAACTTCATATAAAGTGGACTATAATATTCTTGAGATGTTTATACTAATTTTTACACTATATATATAAAATTACATAAATATTATTCGAACTTATACCAGCAATAAAATTGTCTCATACAACTTAAACTCTTCTAATTGGGACACATTTTAACGGAAGAAATGCACTTAACAATGTAGCATATAATTATTTGCCATGTGTTTGCATTAAATATCGTAAACACATCCATCATCAAGGATCACATGTTACTATCATAATAGTTGACAATTGACACTAACGGCGCATAACATATCCATTATTAAGTTTTGAACCATACGTATAATCAATCTATATTCATGTATCAATGAGATATATAATATGTTCAATATATACTTTTTATGACTTTACGAAAAGCTAAAATATATGGTTTTAATCCTTTTCTTTTCCAACGATCTCTATCGGATAGATTTGAGAGGCATTATGAAAAAGAAATTAATAAGAAGCACTAAAAAAGATCTAATCAAATTCCATAAATCACAATACATTAAGCTACACTAAATATCAAACATTCATAATGAATAGCAAGAAGTAACACATCAAAAGGTTGCACAAGACCAATAAACAGACCAAAAATATAAAAAAAATACATCACTTACACATCTAAGTACCTACTAAAAATCTTCTTTTTTTTCCCCCACAAATTCCGTGAAATATTCAATTATCCAAGTGTCAAAATTGAATCAAGAAATAAAATATAAATCGAATAGAATCTGATCTTTAGACCAAGAAGGTACAAAAATTGGGAAACCCTTTGCAAAATTTGATATGATCTATATTATGGTAGCAAGATGCTAAAACAAAAACAGATGCAACGCAATTAGACTGCAAAATCTTGATCGCGGTAGCACACGAATAAGATCCTCCTCAGTCAGTGTTATTATGATACAAAAAGAACAAACTAAATCCGCAGTAATTTTACCTCATCTTGAAGCTTTCTGTAATTTGTTGAATGTCGAAAATGGAAGTGGAAATGAAGAGAGAAACAAAAACCCTCAAAAAGTTGATGTCGAACAAAATTGTGTTTTTCCAATGCAAGATCATGGAGTCACTGGGGAAGAATGACTTGATTCGATCTTTAGTCCCTGCCTCTTTCTACAGTTCTTAAGTACCACGAATCCTTTGGCTTTAATTTCAGATCCAATGCAGGATTTTATCCTCCACAACAGCTCAGTACAATGCCGATGAGAGGAATTAGAGGAGCTGACGCTACTCTGAACCTGAACATTGGCTACTTTGTGACTGGATTCCCACTTGGCTTCTAAATAGGCAAGGGATCGCCATGGAGGAAGAGGCATGGAATTCTGTTTGAGTGAACATTTAGCTGCTTCTACCATAGCCTGAAGATACAGCTTAAGTTTTGTTACTGTGCCAACATAAACTGGTGGAAGACAACTCAAGACCACATTGTAGGATTTGACTGCTCTTGCAATTTCAAAGTGGCTCCGAAAGTCAAGATCAATGATATACCTTTCGGAGCATCCATCATTTCCATGGGAGATCACCTCAATGTACTCGTGTTCACCTACATGACAGATAGGAAATGTAGCACAATGTCAACCAGAATTCTAGCTCACAAGGATGCTTGACAGTGCAAATTTAAATATTTTAATCACAAGATACAACGACATGAACACATTATCTAGTTGAAACTACTATTAATACACATGGTGCACAATGCCACCACGCCATTCAGAGGCTACAACGGGATACATTCTCAGTGGTTCAGACTATAACATTTGTTCAGTTGAAGGCTTTCATACTTGAGCTAAATAATGTTTCATAGTTAGACCTCTTAATATAGTACACAGGCAAGAAATGAATTTAGAAAAAAGCATACCTCCAGGAATTTTTCCACAACCTTGCCACTTGATTGCACACATATCTGCATTAAAACCGCAAGACTGGAGGAGCTTCACTAGATAAGATCTGATGCAGCTTGCATTGCATGTTTCGGGCTTGCCATTATGAAAAGATTCGGTCATTGAAAGAATAAGGGAATGGACCACCATTGTTAGATCACTTTCATACCGATCCACTGAGTTCTTGTACAGCTGCAAAATAATGCAATTTGCCATAAAGTTCCATCATTAAGATTTTTTCCTCTTGTTGACAAATGAAGATACACTAAAGGAGTTAGTTATGAGCAACAGACCAGCATGTGGAAGCTAGAATTTCAGTTGTCTTATGCCCGTAACTCTGTCATTTAGAAATTCGTTTCATTTGACTTATCTTCTATTTCACAAGGAGGAACAGTAATTCAAAGATGATGATACAAATCATTCTTTCCTAGCCTGTAAAGGCTCAAAGCACTCCTGACTCCTATTCTCTATTTATCTAAGACATTGTTCTCACCTTCGGACAAGTTCCATAGATACATCAGACTGACGCTAAATATGCACAGGTTATTAAATATACTCTAATTAATCCAATTTTAATCCTCAGGAGAGCACATCGCAAGGGTTATACTATCACAATTTTCAATTTGTCCATGCTATTTTATATACGTGTTCACTATTACATGACCCCACTTTGTATACTTAAAAATAATACTTGAATAATTTCATTGTTAACCCCATGCAAAACTAAAATTCAATGACCACTAACATGCATATGTAAAAACAAGGATTACTCCAGTTCAAGCTCTAATCGTTCCTGGATAAAATCCTTATGTGTCTATTCAAGCTCGCTAGTATACACCTACACTGAAACACTAGAACAAGTTTCACAGACGAAAAGCACAAAAGAGCTCTAACGTCTGGGGGCTTTAAGCACAAATGCAGTGTGGGCTTTAATAAAAAAAAGGCTCAAAGGGAGAACAGAATACAAATATATATATTTAGTCCAAGACTAATAATTATAAACATGAATGACAAATATATGACCAAAGAAATTGAAAAAACGTTATGATAAAAGTGAACTATCAATTATTTAGTTTCACTTCTTCATAAGAGGCTCATTGGTAAGGAAACGTTTGCCTTAGAACCTTGATGACGACACTAAAGCGAACATAAAGTGAGGTGAAGCGCTCAACATGTTCTAAGCCTCGCTTCAGGGTCAAGGGCGCTTAAAAAGCGCACCTTTGACAACACTGACCTCTGTACCATATGCGAAACCAAAATTCCATGACGATATACATGTGTATTAGAGACAAGGATAACCCCATTTCAAACATTAATCGCTCTACAAAAATTTATTATCTGTTATGTTTGAACTTGTCGAGATGCACCTAGACCAACAAGCGTAAACATGTCTATTCACTGAAATGAGGATTGCTCCAACTCAAACATTAATTCCTCCAGATTAAATCTTAATCTGTGCTGTTCAAGCTTATCGTGTACCTAGACAAGTTTGATCACCGAGGGAGCTACTTAAAACACACCACATGGTAATAAAGAAAGAAGTCTGCTTCACCGGTAAGCAGAGAGGAGGGAAAAGATATTACCAGGACCTACTGCAATCAGTTGCTTTAGATATCTATTACAACAGTTTATTCATTCCCAGTCATTGTGTTTCCCTAGTTACTGGAAAAGGAAAACAATCTCCCAGGAACCTGCTGCTGACAGTCATGCCCTGTATACCCAGAAAGGCGTCAGCAGGGCAAGTTTATGTGTCCAAAAGAAAGGGGAGTATTATTGCTCACCCCTGAATTTGGTACAGGATAGTAAGTTTGCTTGTGGCAGTGGGTTGCCCATTTTTGCATTTCCAGAAGATTATACTAACATAGAATAAATTAAATTGTGTATCTACCTACAGACTGCAATTTCAAACCAAAAACATTGTCTAATTAGAACAATCACCAAAACTGAGTTGAAGTTAATGCAGGTGAATTGAGCAAGCACACTGCAATCATGCTTCTACATTGACTACCCTTCTGTGATACACTATTATCAAAATTAACCTCCGCTGTGAAGCACAATATCAGTATTTTTCTTTCACGTCTCTTGCGTAACTGCATTATTTCCCTGTCTGTTTACGTACTTATTGTTGGTGCAAGTTTTTGAACCTAATAAGCTCCTGAGCTTGTTTGGCTTTTCTCTACTCCACGGAAACTGATTCTCAATGACTCAATCCATTGACTTTCTCCTCATTATCTCCTATTTCTAGTCCAACAAACTAACCACAAGCTCTGAAAAGCTGTTGCTTCCAAAATTTATATTATGCATCGATTGAGAATTCCGATCAAGCACTTACACCTCCTACTTCCTGTCTTTCAAATACATCAATATCAATGTCAAA